CACCTCATTTGGACATCCGGGTACCTTTCTCACAAGATGCAGCAGTTGGAAGCCCTCAGGAGTCAAATTAAGTCTCCAAAAGTGTGTTTCCCCATAGAGAAACCTAACACCTGCAAAGAACATACTCAAAGTTCTTGAACCCTCGATTTCCCGGTCTCTTGAAATTTGCCGCTTTCCAAAAGTAGTTCCCAGGGGCCCACCTGGGAATATGCTTTTGGCTAGTACCACCATCCTCTTCAACCCCCACAGAACAGATGCCGACGCCCCCGTGTTTCTGACCCCCCCACACACACACACACATACGCTGAAGATTAATCTTAATCATTTCAGAAGCCATTTCTAGAAATGCAGGGTCCTAAAATAACGTAGATAAGAATGAAAACACGTCTTTACATTTGCCAGTGTTAGGGGGGAGTGCAATTGTGAAAATGCGGGAAATCCTGTAAATGCAAAATTATGCCATCCGTAATTGACAGAGAAACAGCCACCCAGAACACTCTGTCATACATTTTCTTCTCAGCAAACAACTTTGTTCACCAAATTTCCTGGGATTCAGTATGAACTATTATATTTCTAGGGAGAGATGTAAAAGTTTATCTAAAGACAATTGACAGGAACACTGATGAAAACACTGTCCTCTCAACAGTTTGTGTGCACTCACTCAGCTGATGTTAAATATACACACTCAAAATTACCGCTGTGTCTGGTTGTGTGTAGACAGACAGATAAGAGAAGTCCCTCGATCATTCCTTTCCTTTCATTTGGAGCATTCCTACCAGAAGGCTTTACAAAAATTCCAAAGTGTCTAGTACCATCCGTCCTTAGCTTTCTCCTCCTGTCTGAACAGAGGCCAAGTCCTATGCAGGACACATTGGTGCCCCTCAAGTCTGATTCCCATCATCTCGGATTCACACTTTGAGTCCTAATCATACCGAAGTGTACGTAGACCTTTAAACTGTGTCCTTCATGACTCCCTGCCTGTGCCCCCCCCCCATCCTTCCCCTGGTCTTCTGTACCATTGACTGAAGAATCACTGTCCTTCAGGAGGCCTCCTTCCAGGAAAAGGCCTTCCTGTGTGCTCACAGCATCCTGTCCATGCTTCTCTCTACATTACCACATGGCTGCTGTAGACTCATCTGTTTACATGTGTCTCCATCCTTATTTGTCTTGCTTGTGTCTGTATTTCAGCATCTAGTATCCAACACGCAGATCAGAATAAATCAGTGCTCGGGAAACGTTTGCTGAACAACTTGGCACTTTTATATGGCATTGTGTTCCTTCCCCGGTAAAGATTTATTTACTTATTATGTATACAGTGTTCTATCTGCATATTGGCCTGCACACCAGAAGAGGGTACCAGATCTCATTAACAGATGGTTGTGAGCCACCATGTGGTTGCTGGGAATTGAACTCAGGACCCCTGGAAGAGCAGTCAGTGCTCTTAACCTTTGAGCCATCTCTCCAGCCCCCGTTTCTTATCTTTTTTAGACAGGGTTTCTCTGTAGTTTTGGAGCCTGTCGTACTCACAGAGATCCACCTGCCTCTGCCTCCTGAGTGCTGGGATTAAAGGCGTGCGCCACCACCACATGACGACTTCCGTGTTTCTTGCTGCCTATGTGATGTGATTTCACTCAGGCTAATGACCCTAGTGGAGTGACAGGTTAGCTTTCTCTAGGTAGTCTGCCTCTTGGAAGACAATGTAAATTAGCAATTAAGAGTGTGCCCTTTGGAGGCATACAGGTCTAGATCCCCCACATAGCTAGTTGCAT